CCCTCCACCCCTTGTTCACCTCCCTTTGTCCCCCTCTCCCTACCCTAGTGTCCACAACTGGTGTAAACCTGTATACAACAATGCATCGTATTTAGGTTTCAGTGAAATGGGTGACTTTCGTCAGTATGTTTGCCTTGGAAGAAGCTCTGAAAGGACGTTTGAAAATGATTCCATTTGACTCAATCGAAGCACTCGACGTTGTCCTCCGATACTCCCTGTCATCACAGTACATTTCCATTGGTCGCTCGTTTTTCTCTCCACCAGTTAGGAACGTGAATTCCGCCAATCTGGAATGTGGTCGCGAAGTGTGGTTTGGATTTCATCAGAGTGTCCGACCTTCTCAATGGAAGATGCTTGTGAATATTGATTGTAAGTTGACGAAGTCTGTAGAATGGCGAGTTTTGTTGTATATACTGTGATAACACTTTTTCCTCACACTTTAATAGTGTTAGATGCATAGATTTTACGGCTCCTCAGGCATGGCTGAAGAAATAAAATTTGCCAAACTTGAGAACTTGGGCTGGATTAACAGAACGCTTCCATACAGGCTTTTAGCCAGAAGGGTATCCAGGTGTCCTGGGATGCCCTACAAAGAAAAAATGGATGCCGTTGGAAGACCAAAATTCTGGGGGAAAGGGTCAATGTCCAATGATTTCCCTAAATATATTAATATATCTGAAACGAAATAGCTTAAATTCAATAGTACATTTGACATTTTCATCAATTTGATGGTGTACCTGGTTGAATGAAAATGTCATATTTAAGTAAAGAGCATATGTAGCGGCACAAAACTCGCAAAGCCAAGTGTGTTTGCAAAATCTCGAATGAGCTTTAGTAGGCTGGACGCCTATTCTCAGCCCGAAATTAAATTCGCAACAAATTCTGGCTGCGAGAAGGCTAGCTGAACAGATAGTGACATGAAGTAACGTAAACCTCTAATACTGTTTAAGAGTCTCAGACCATTGAACTATAAATAAACTGGAAGGCTAACTCAGGGGGGGGGGAATTGAAGCCAGTGCATTTTAGTTTTTCTGAGTTATGAGCAGAAATACTCAACACTGAACGTTGGGCTATATATCAAATTGTGAAGCTATTGAAAAACGCTATTTGGTGTAGAAATTTCAAGACTTTAGCTAAAAGCTCTGAGCTAAAAGGGAAATATTGAAAAACTACAAACATAATTACCGATAATTTGCCGTTTTGCAGTTGTTTTTGTATTTTTTAAATATTTTTCTTTTCGCTGAAGTCTTGAAATTTCCACACCGAATAGCAATTTTCAATAGCTTCAATTTGATATATAGCCTGACGTTTGGGATCAAGTATTTCTGCTCATAACTCAGAAAAACTATTTTGGTTTCATCAAATCATAGGCCTTCATCATAGCAGTTAGCCTTCCAGTTTATTTATAGTTCAATGTCTCAGACCCAAACTTCAAAGGTATTCCAGAGGAGCGTTTTCTTAAACCCTCCTACTCTAGATGTGTCATTATATCAAAATTGGACACCTTCTTGGCCTCTTTCAAGATGCTGGCTAAAAGCCTGCTTCCATGCTGTAACTTCAGCTATCAATGGACCAATCCCCAATTAACCAAAATTTTGAACTCAACAAGTCTAGACAAAATTTCATCATAGCATGAAAGAGCATCACAAAATTAGTAATATTCCAAAGTTTCGTTGCAAAATGTTGTAAAATGCGGATAATATAGCCTTGCGAAATTTGCAATTTTCAGTCATATTTTGTATTACAAGCGGGAAACGGTTACCACTTTTTCAAAATTTTGATCTTAACTAGCCTAAACAAAAATTTTATCACAGCTTGAAAGAGCATCACAAAATTAGTAATATTCCAAAGTTTCGTTGCAAAATGTTGTAAAATGCGGATAATATAGCTTTGCGAAGTTTGTAATTTTCAGTCATTTTGTATTAACCATTTCCCGTTCAAATTTTGCAAGGCTATATTATCCGCATTTTACAACATTTTGCAACGAAACTTTGGAATATTACCAATTTTGTGATGCTCTTTCAAGCTGTGATGAGATTTTTGTCTAGACTTGTTGAGTTCAAAATTTTGATTAATATGGGATTGGTCCATTTTTCACTTTTTTCTTAGCTTCTGCCACTGCCTTTCATAAAGCGATCTCGGTGATAGAATTTCTGTCTGAAGTCATTGGTGAAAATCCCCAGAGATTGCATCTTCGATCAAGTCTGAATGAAGAAGACAGAACGAAATTCATCAAAGAAATTAAAGGTGCGTGACTTTGTGTATTTGACATGCGCAAAAACCTACCCTCTTTTATTTGAAAGACAGGAATGTCTCAAAAAACGGGGGCTAGTCACTTTATTTAACTTATTGAGCACCAACACGACAAGTAAAATCGTCTGGCATTAGACAGAGTAAAATAAAAAAAAATAGGGTGATTTCAGAACCACATTGTACACTTTGTGAGTGTTGTAGGCACGAGGGTTAGTGTCCCTGTTCCCCTAACTTAGGTAGGCTGGAGGGGATATTTTGGAACTATGAAAATCTTACGATTTGTTGGTGTGTAATTATTGTTGAAATTACTGTCACTTTTCACACAATGAATTACTGGTTTCTAAAGCAGTAGGGAAGTGCAATGTCCCTTTTCACATTGTACACTTTGTGAATGTTGTAGGCATGTGGGTAGTGTCCTTGTCCCCCCCACTTAGGTAGGCTGGAGGGGATATTTGGGAACCGTGAAAATCTTACGATTTGTTGGTGTGTAATTATTGTTAAAATTACTGCCACTTTTCACACAGATGAATTACTGGTTTCTAAAGCAGTAGGGAAGTGCAATGTCCCTTTTCACATTGTACAATTTGTGAATGTTGTAGGCATGTGGGTTAGTGTCCCTATTCCCCCAACTTAGGTTGGCTGGAGGGGATATTTGGGAACCGTGAAAATCTTACGATTTGTTGGTGTTTAATTATTGTTAAAATCTCGGTTAAAATTACTGCTACTTTTCACACAGATGAATTACTGGTTTCTAAAGCTGTAGGGAAGTGCAATATCCCGTTTTACATTGTACACTTTGTGAATGTTGTAGGCATGTGGGTGAGTGTCCCTGTTTCCCCAACTTAGGTTGGCTGGAGGGGATATTTTGGAACTATGAAAATCTTACGATTTGTTGGTGCGTGATTGTTGTTAAAATTACTGCCACTTTTCACACAGATGAATTACTGGTTTCTAAAGCAGTAGGGAAGTGCAATGTCCCTTTTCATATTGTACACGTTGTGAATGTTGTAGGCATGTGGGTGAGTGTCCCTATTCCCCCAACTTAGGTAGGCTGGAGGGGATTGCATTTTGCGCAGTTGCTCTTGGAGTCCTGGTTAGATCTAAAATAATATATAATCTTCTCCTCGACGTTAGCTACCATCAACAAAAACCCCTCACAGGACAAATTTACATAGGGATCAGAATTCGTCCGACCTCGTGTAAACGCAGTCTGAAAATGAATATTTATTATTTAGGTTTGAAAATTGAGATCAATCACTGTGGCGAGGCTAAGAGAAAATATCGTGTGTTCGGCGTGACTCGAGAGCCCGCGTGTATATTGACCTTCCCTAGGACGCATGAGAATGGACAGAGCGAGGAGATCACAGTTCAGAGATATTTCTTGGAGAAATATAAGAGAAATTTACTGTATGTAGCAAAGTAGTTTCATATTATTCTCAGGGTTCGTACAAAGCTTGAAAGTCCTTGAGTTTGAAAAATGAAATTAAAGGCCTTGAGTGTCCTTGAATTCATAAAGAAGTGCTTGAAAGTCCTTACATTCTTCTTAGTTTTTTTGATTTTCTGAAATTGTTCGACATACGACCATCGAACCTACGACCTTTGGAATACTAGCCCAATGCTCTGCCAACTGAGCTACGCGGTCAGGTCGGTTCGAGTAAGTGATATTTCGGAACAGAATGTAGTTCCTTCGATACCAATGTAATCTTGTAATCTGATTTTTTTCTGTGCTGGTGTTGTGTACTCAGGTGAATATGATATGTTTGTGATGTTACTCTGAGTGTATATCCACACCGGGCGAGCTTGAAAAATATGCCCGGCCACGGTGGGATTCATATGTTTGAAATTTATTAAGACTGCCGTATGAACAGTTTAACTACGCTTCTTTCTGTGATTTCTAACACATTTTCACCCTGAATTCCCTGATACATGGCCTTGCAAGTCCTTGAATTATACTTTTCCTAACTTGTACAAACCCTGATTAAAGTCGTAATATCATTGCATGGAACGTATACAGTTTGTTTTTAAAAGAAAATTGAAGAAATATTCTACTTTTTTATTTGACTCTAAGGGATTTGCACGTTTTCTGTTGTTTTGTATATAGGTATGGCCATCTGCCTTGTCTTCAAGTTGGTCAACCACAGAAACAAACTTTTCTTCCTCTCGAAGTGTGTTCCATAGTCTCTGGTCAACGATGTACGAAAAAATTGACAGACAAACAGACAACAAAGATGATAAAATGTACAGCTAAACCTGCTCCAGACAGACAACAGGAGATTATCGGGCTGGTGGGTGGAACATACCGATATACCCTGATATTTATCTAACTGAGAACCCTAGAGGTCCAGGAAGGATCATTCCTTGTTGATCCAGTGTTACTATAGGAGGAAACATACACTAAACTAACTATATTTATACTGGATAACTCTGGCAGTTCTAAACTGTTATTCCTAGAGGTCCAGCAAGGATCATCTCTTATTGATCCAGTGTTACTACAGGAGGAAACCTAAACTAAACTAACTTTATCTATACTGGATAGCTCTATCAGTTCTAAACTGTTCTCCATAGAGGTCCAGTAAGGGTCATCTCTTATTGATCCAGTGTTACTACAGGAGGAAACCTAAGCTAAACTAACTTTATTTATACCAGATAGCTCTATCAGTTCTAAGCTGATCTCCCTAGAGGTCCAGTAATGATCATCTCTTATTGATCCAGTGTTACTACAGGAGGAAACCTAAACTAAACTAAACTAAACTAACTTATACTGTAGATAGCTGCATAGCTCTATCAGTTCTAAACTGTTCTTTTAATTCTGTTTACTGACAAGTATGTATCTTGTTTTGTATGTTTGTCAGATGCACAAAGCAAATTTCTCCAATGACAAACATTGTCAAGAGTTTGGCATAACTGTTCAACAACAGATGGTCTCGCTCACTGGAAGAGTTTTACCACCGCCTAAACTTGTCTTTGGTGGTCGAGTAAGTGTAGAATTCCTGTTAAATTCAAACAAACCTAAGCATAACCTCGAAATAGGAATTTCGAAACTAAAATAACCAGGTCAATATACCAGTATATCTTATATATTGTATCTTCTATTTTAGGAGAAGGTCACAGAAGTTCCTCGCAATGGTAAGAAAATGTTTTCATGAAATGTAAACTGCTCTTTACTGTAAATTTCTCGCCGACTCCTGTCCCACAGATATTTATGCTTATTATATAAAGAGATAAAGCACATACTAAAACAATAGAGTATATTATGGGGGGAAAGATTATACTATAGCGCGAATTTTACGTGTGGACATGATCTGCAAGCATTACGCATACCTAATTATATACTTAGCCTATAGCAGGGCTTGAATTTTATCGTGGCAATTGCCGTAGAGGGAGAACAAAATGCCGTGGATTATTTGCCGTATAGTGCAATTTTTATACTATTCACTTTGCATTACTATTTTGATACTTGAATGTTGATCAAATCATGCGTAAACTACTATTTTACTCTCAGTTTTCTTCGAAAAAAAAAACACTAAAGAAATACGTAAACATGTTTCTAGCTTGTCAGCAATCCAAAGCAACAATAAAATTAAATTTTTAGTAAAGTAATTTGAAAAATGCCATGGAAACTGCCAAAATTGCCGTAGACAGCTGTTACGTTCTACGGCAATATTTAACGCCATTGCCGTCGACTGATTTCAGGGAAATTCGAGGCCTGGTCTATAGACTATTGTATCTTTTAAGGCCCATTTCCTTTCAGGACAGTTTTGTGCAGAAAGAAAATATTGTAAAATGCGATTGGCCGACACAAATTTTTCGTCGGAAAAAAATGTAACGATGATGATATTTTCGGAAAATATTCTGTCCGTGGAAATTTTTTTTGAGTGGAAATGGGCCTTTGACATTACTTTCTCAGTTCAGTTTCTGTGTTTATCCTAACCCATCCTTTCCATATGGGAGGAAACCGGAGACCCCGGAGGAAACACACGACATTCGGCAGAGTGTTGACTGTAGGAATGTTCGGTTTGAGAAATTTCCGGTATCGGTATACCGAAAAAATTATACCGATATTATCGGTCTTCCTGAAGGAAATTTTTAATAGTTCTAAAAGGGAAAACGATCATTTCGAAGCTGTTTCGAACATGTTTCGAACGACACGTACTCAGTGTAAAATCTCACTGAAGTGGAAATTCTAAATCATTGCAGTAGAAAGTTCTTTGAATAATTGCCATTCAGTAGTAAAATATTTCGCCATATAGTTGGTAAATTTAACACGGTATACCGAAAAATTCCGGTATATCGGAAAAATCGGTATATCGGTATGGTTAAATATCCGGTATCGATATACCGATATTGATTTAATACCGACATTTTCGGTATATCGGTATACCGAACAGTCCTAGTTGACTGACTCTCTTCACATGAGTGGACAACGGGAGAATCGAACCCACGATCTCATAGCGAAAGGCGACCGAAGACCCAGCCTTGTTGTACCGTCAGGTATCCGGCAAAACGGTTTCCGGCACATCCCTATCCGCCTTGCCGCCACATACACCTTTATCTTTTTGGTGTTTTTCAGGTGTTTGGGTGATGAAAGGCAAGCAGTTGTTTCACGGTGTAGAGATCAAGGAATGGGCGATAGTATCGTTTGCGCATCCGAGAAAATGTAGCGAAGACAATTTGAGAAATTTCACTCTGAAACTGACGAGGACTGGAAACGACTCGGGCATGCCTGTCTCTCCTCAACCTTGCTTCATTAGATATGCAAGAAACGATAAGGAGGTACATATGCGGACGAAAGTGAATTTAATCATTCTGTGGGTTGGTCACGGCCAAGCCATCATCTTGTTTCATATTGTGTATTGTCTTCTAAAGGTTGGACCGTTGCTGACTCACATTAAAACCTCGTTTAAAGATGTTCAATTGATCATCGTCGTACTTAATGGCAAGAGCATGGTTTATGGTAAGAATGACACCTTTTACAACGTTCAATTTTTATATCGTATAGTTTTCTTAATTCCGTCCAAAGGGCTGATAGAAATATACAATAAACTGTACCATATTGGCAGCTTTATAAGTGACTACAACGGATTGATGTTTGATATCTGAACTATTAACTTTTACGGGCATGCTATTCATCAATGTATTACCGCACATAAAACTGGGTCGTCGGTGGCGCGAACATCATAGCAATCGCCTTTCGCCTCTGAGATTGTGTGTTCGGTTCTCGCTATGGACTTATGCCACTGATGCAGGGTGTTAGCCAGGATTTCAAAAGTGGCCGTCCAAAATAATTTTGTGGGCGTGGTCACATTTTTTGGGCGTGGTCGCAATTTTTTGTTGTGGAATTGTGGTGTTCTATTCGTAGAACCTTTTTACTTTTATATGCACATTTCCGTCATTAAATTAATAAAAGCACACATATATGGTATGAACCATATGATCACTACGATGTAGGGTCAGTATATGCTATAATGAAGAACCCAATACAGCAGCTAGTGTAGTGCTTAGTTATTTTTTTTATAAATCGCCGATATTTTCCCCCTTTTTTATGCGTTTGGCTTATTTTATAGCCATCGTTAGTATTTTCTCTTTACCGTAACTGCAACTCTAAAGCAGGTGGCGCTCGAGCAATAAAGCGACTGCCGGTTTTTAAAACAGCGGTTTCAAATTGTTCTCCTTAATAATACTTCATGCGAGAATCATCAACATGGTTACAAAAACATGTCGCGTTTGTCGATACTTCAATTCAGCCATATTCAACGTGTTTTCGACGGGAAAAAGTATGAAAACATATACCATAAGTAAAGTAAACAGCAGATGACAACAATTAGAAGTATTCAAGAAATATTACAAAACTTGTAAATTGCTATTTAAAGAAAATATTCCCTTAGGCCGTCCATGGCCGTCCATTAAAATTTAGCCGTCCGAATTCAGAAGTGGCCGTCCGTAGGACGGTCGGACGGCCGCCTGGCTAACACCCTGCACTGATGTGAAAAGAGTCCGTCAACGCTCTACCGAAAGTCTTGGGTTTTCTCCGGGTACTCCGGTACCTCCCGCAGGGAATGTTGACAGGGTGTGTTGGCATTATCCCCTATTAACCGACTCCTCCACCGTAGTTGTGCTCCGTGATCAGACATGAGTCATAAGGTGGCTGTTAAAGGCTCGCTTAGTAAGCCTTTGACTGGATCAGGTTGAGCTGCGTCCATCGCAATTCAGCTTAGCTCTCAGCTGCAAGTAAGGATGATTAGCACACACCTAACTTACTTAATACTGTACCTAACATATCTAAAATTGCCTATTTCCATAGCTCCAGCGACTTAACGTTCCATATAACGTCTCGTTTGTGTTATCTTTCAGCGGAAGTGAAACGCATTGGTGATACATTACTCGGTGTAGCAACTCAATGTCTTCAGTTAAAGAACGTTGTAAATCCAAGCGGACAGACCTTGGCGAACCTTTGCTTGAAGATCAATGTCAAACTGGGTGGAATTAACACCATCTTGGCTCCAGAGATCAGGTATACTTTATATTGTTAAGACTTTATATTTAAGGCGAGTTATATGCTGGGTATGGCGGATAATCCAAGAGAGCATATATACACACAATTTAAGACCTATTCAGGAACGGTTACGAAAAATTCAACACTAGGTCCTCTGGCAGGAATTGAACCTGCGATCCTGCGATTCCGGTGCAGAGCTCTAACCAACTGAGCTGCAGAGGCCAGTTGTCGAGCTTTAACCACAAGTTCGTGTATATATATATATATATATATATATATATATATATATATATATATATATATATATATATATATATATATATATATATATATATATATATATACACGAACTTGTGGTTAAAGCTCGACAACTGGCCTCTGCAGTATTATTATATATATTCGGGTGTGCGGGTTGTACTTTTTCTGCTTGGCTGTTCAAATGACACAACCGCAAAACATGTCTTGGCGAGGGAGCCTGTCTGATCGACTGAGCTATCCAGTAGAAGCTGTTAATTTTGTTCAAATCTAGTTACGCATGCTCCTTTTCATCGACAGTTTTAAATTCAATGTTCTGTGTTGTCTTACTGTTTTCCAGGCCCCCATTCTTCAAACAGCCAGTGATATTCTTTGGAGCTGACGTCACACATCCAACTGCAGGAGACGAAAAGAAGCCTTCGATTGCCGCTGTAAGTGCTTCAGTTATGTCAAGGTGTTGCCCAGAAACCAAAACATATTAAAGAAAAATTTGCTAGTGCTCTACTACAAATTGGGTACTTTAAAAGTCATCGTCTCCTTATGGACTTATCAAATCATGTTTTGTTTAGGTTGTTGGAAGCATGGACGCCCATCCGAGCCGCTACAGCGCTTCAGTCAGAGTACAAACGCATCGTCAGGTAATGATTATAGTCGGATTGCCTCATGGCGATCCTGCGTGCCCACGATCTAAAGCGCTCCCCGAATGTCATATTTCAGTTGTTGCTGCCAGCTATATATAAAGGAAAATACTTGCCAGGATTTTACCTACAGTTTAAGATTTTGCGAGTGTTTCTAAATTCCAGGGCGTGTACCAGACAATTACCCAGAATAGCCATATGCGCGGTTATGCTCGGCTATCCAGTTATGGTCGGCAGCAGCAGACTACATATACGGGTTTTTATGTGACTGACAATATACAATGATGTTTGTGGTGTTACTCTCTGAGTGTGTATCCACACCGGGCAAGCTGAAAAGTTTGCCTGCCCACGGTGGGAATCGAACTCACGACTTTTGGGATACCAGTCCAATGCTCTACCAAGAGTCTCTAATAAGTCATTGTATATTACTTTTTGTGTGTGTTGGTGTTATGTACTCAGGTGAATATGATGTTTGTGATGTTACTCTGAGTGTATATTCACACTGGGCAAGCTGAATAGTTTGCCTGACCACAGTGGGAATCAAACCAGTGACCTTTGGGATACTAGTCCAATGATCTGCCATTCCCACCATGGTCAGGCAAACTTTTCAGCTTGCCCAGTGTGGATGCACACTCAGAGTAACACCACCAACACACACGTAAAAGTAATATACAATGACTTATTAGAGACTCTTGGGGGCATTTAAAGCTGTATTTCCTAACATATACACGGTTGCCACTACATACATACATACACCTAACCTAAAAACATCACGGATCATTCTATGACCCTATCAATTTCCGCAATCTAGATTTTACAAACTTCCTCAAGGCATAAATAAGAGCAAATTCTACGTATGAAAGCACACGGAGCGTGTCATGGGGCAGTCATGTACAGCGTTTTGATCTGTGGTATCCCTTTTAGGAAATCATTGGAGAATTATCATCCATGGTTCGTGAATTGCTGATCCAGTTCTATCAAGCTACCAACCATAAGCCGTGTCGTATTATCTTTTATCGAGATGGCGTCAGTGAGGGACAGTTTGATCAAGTGAGGATAACATGCCAATGCTTGTACGATCTTGGAAAAAATATCTGTAGACTTTTCGAAAAATACACTCAAATCTGAAAACATGTAATGAAAATCAACTATTTACCTTAACCCCCCCCAGGTAAAGTGAATTTGCAACACAAATCTCCATCATTGTATAAGGGGCGGGGGACAAAGTTTGTGTATTATTATTTTTCCAGGATTGTAGATATATATTCTTTGAAGAGGTAGGGCCTTCATACTGGAAACCACATAGCGGGCCAAAATTCATGTTTTTATTAAACTACTTCGGACGATTTTCAATGAAATTTGAAAATTATGAGGCACCGTCTTAAAATATTCATCATTAATTCGGCGTTGATTTTCAGGTTATTTCTCACGAGCTGAAGGCTGTGCGCGAGGCCTGTCTGAAGTTGGAGTCTGGCTACAAGCCTGGAATTACCTTCATTGTTGTACAAAAACGTCATCACACGAGGTTATTTTGTGTCAAGAAAGAAGATCAGGTGAGTTGCGATGAGATCCGCTTCCCACTATTACATGTGCTAGAATTAGAGAATAATAACATGAATACTAAGCATCTAGTTACGGGAACCACTGAGTATTTTATAAAGTACAAAAGAACTCCAAATAACATTTTGTAGCTTTAATGAATCTACGTTTCGACTGTATTTTAGTCAACGTCAGGACAGATTACTGAGATTAGTTAAGATTATTACATGCTGTAAGATATTGATAGATCTGATCACTGGTCCCTACTATTATATAAAGAATCCCTTGCAATTGACCATTTGCGTAATAGACTAAATTTTGAACTAAACAAGTCTAGACAAAAATTTCATCACAGCTTGAAGGAGCATCACAAAATTAGTAATATTCCAAAGTTTCGTTGCAAAATGTTGTAAAATGCGGATAATATAGCCTTCCGAAATTTGCAATTTTCAGTCATTTTAGATTACAAACGGGAAATTGACAGCCCCAAACCCTTCGAGGCTGTCAATTTCCGATTTGTAATCTAAAATGACTGAAAATTGCAAATTTCGCAAGGCTATATTTTCCGCATTTTACAACATTTTGCAACGAAACTTTGGAATATTACTAATTTTGTGATGCTCTTTCAAGCTGTAATGAAATTTTTGTTGAGATCAAAATTTAGTCTATTACGCAAATGGTCAATTCGCAGAAGAAAACCAGAACTTAACCACGGCGCCAAGGCTTCAAAGGAACTGATCATATTTCAGTGACACTATTAAGCTCCCCCCTGTTAACTTAATCTGTCCTGACGATGACTAAAATATAGTCGAAACGTAGATTCATTAAAGCTACAAAATGTTATTTGGAGTTACTGTTCTTTTGTATTTTACTAAGCATCTGTACTCTGTTTTTAGTGCGGTCGAAGTGATAACATTCCACCTGGAACAATGGTGGACAGTGGTATCACTCATCCAACAGAATTTGATTTCTACCTTTGCAGTCATTTTGGAGTTCAGGTAACCCCCCGCCCCAGAAAACTGTGAAAATCAGGTGCCTCAGATTGGCTAAAAATGCAATTGCCATGCAACATTTGTTGCTACATTTACACACTATCGTGTTATTAAAATGGATGCACTTATAATTGCATTTCTATAAGATAGCTATGACGTTTAGCCAAGGTTCTCTCCATTTTATATTTTAATAACTTTTTCAATTGCATTTTATTTTCTCTTCATTTGAATGAAGGGTACAAGCAGACCATCTCACTATCATGTGTTGTGGGACGATAATAATTTCACTGCGGACGAGATTCAGGCGCTGACGTACCAACTCTGTCACACGTACGTGCGTTGTTCCAGATCTGTGTCGATACCCGCACCCGCGTTTTATGCGCATCTTGTCGCGTTTCGAGCACGATATCACTTGCAGGAGAAAGAGACCGCGAGGTGAGTTTATTCCGGTAGGGTTTAACCCCGGTAGCAATTTCAGCGTCGGTAGTCTCCAAGACCAAAAAAATTCAAAGACTTTCAAAGATATTTTCTGCCTATTTTCAAAGACTTTTCAAAGACCTTTGAGAGTAATCAGCTGTCGAAAAATTGCGAATGTAAGCACCATTTTTACCCAGTAATTAGTCCTGTCAAATCACATCCTAAAATGTGCCTTTTCGTCGATATTTGCGAAAACTTTGCTTCAATCAATCTATTTTATTAGCTAGGAAATCGTATAATCAAATACTCACTAAAGAATTTAAAGACTTTCTTCGCTTTTTCACACAATTCAAAGACCTTAAAGACCTACATTCAAATTTAAAGACTTTCAAGGATTTCAAAGACCGCTACGAACCCTAAATTTTAACCCAGATGGCCGCCAGTTTTTAAGATCATTAAAACGTAAAAGAATCGACAACCAGCCACTTACAACAATACTAAACTTTACCCTCACCCACACCTAACCCTAACCCCCACACTAACATACTAACCCCCACACTTATCCTAATACTAACGCAAACTCTTATTTCAATTTTGGAACCATCTCGTAAACTACCTCCCGTCCATCCCTTTTAGACACTACCCATACAGAATGCCGCAAAACAGCGCCATAATTCGTCATCAAAATGCACTCTACATATTCGTAGCCAGTGTACGCCATTGAACTATAGCACAGAATAAAGACATACAGAAGTGTAACTTCCATTACAAAACCGTAAGGCGCTTTTTTACCGAAATAGCTGGCGGCCATGTTCTTAGCATGTGCCCTAAAGAGAGGCATTCACCCCCCTGGAATATTAAATTTTCAATATATTTTCAGGGGGGTGACTGCCTCTTTTTAGGGCACTTGCTAAGAACATGGCGGACTGAAAAAATCCCTTACGTACTTTTAATAAGAAGATACACTTCTGTATGTCTTTATTCTGTGAACTATGGTGTGCGCTTATGGGAGGCATTTACCCCCCCCCCCCCATCCTGAACGTTCACCATTTCGAATATTTTCATTTTATTCCCCATGTTATCTTTCATCTCATTTTCGACGTTTTCTAGCTCAACAGATACGAAGAAAGAGCTGACTGCGGAGTTTCAAGCTCATGCTGTTCAAGTTCATCCCAATTCCCTCAAGTACATGTATTTTGCTTGACATGCCTATGTGCTGCTGTTTTTTCACAAGATATCAGGGAGAAAGGCGTATATAATCGCAGTCGTACGCCCTGGTCGCTACATCCCAGTAGCATAGATATTTGCCCAGGAGCAGTTGTATAAAACGTAGCCGAAATTAACTATTGTTAGTGCGAAAGTTATAACCACTCAAAAGCGCGTATTTTAGAGTTAACTTTAATTTAATTACGACATAGTGGTTAAAAAGTTGTTAACAGTTCCAGGCAATTTTTTAACGCGAGGAATGTTATGAGGTATTTGGAAAACTTTGGGCTCAGTCAGAGTTTTATTTTGCCATAGGCCTTTATCGCCTGCCTCGTACCCAGGCGCAAATTGATCCACGCGGCCCATACGAGGCAGCTTTATCCACGTCGTTTGAGTAGATTAAGATTTTTAGAGACCTTACGATTTTAGGACGGCAACGCGACGACGACGGCCAAAACAAACTCCTTCAAATAAATGTAGTAAAGATAATTCGTCGTGTATTATCAATCGTATGAATACAGTCTTAGAAGTTGAAGACATGGGTTTTATGGTTGGGAAGAGTTCTGCTAAACCCAGTTTGAAATTGCACTTGTTGCGACTTGGAATGCAGGCGTTGTATCAAGACGTGAAAATATGTTTTTTGGCGTTGTAAACAGAGCGAGGAGAATGTCTAAATTATTCATATACTGTAATTATTCAATTCTTTTCAATGATTTATTGTATTGGTATAGCTGTTGCCGTCTTAAAATCGTAAGGTCTCTAAAATTAGCAAGGTAACGACGACCGCTAGGGGACTAGAATTTAGGGTGCTAAGTGGCTGCTCGTATGGAGCCGGGCTGGCCCGTTTAACCAGGATGATTTGTTTAATAAAGCTCTTATCACGGCTTTCATATAAACACCCAAAATGATATTTCAAAGTTGAATTAGGTTAGTTTCATTTCAGTAACGGTATAAAGTTCATTCAAACAATTTTTTTATGGTCAGGAAAAACAATTCTTCACAAAATTCATCCCGGCTCATATGAACAGCCCCTAACGCCTCTATTCTAAAAGCACACTGAAAGAGTAGAGGTTCAATCTGAGCTTCCCTTGAGTGCCAGTAATGTTTTTGAATAGCTGAAGGGTTAAGCCCTGGGCAAACTAGGAAGCATTAATTGTTGTGGAAACATTTGTGATTCTCGATGTTTCCTCAAATGTTTCCCTGTTTGCCCACCCGTGGAAACATTGTTGCGGAAACAAATTTGCTTCCCGAGAAGCAAAAATGTTCCCTAGCAAATTCAGAAACATTTGATGCGACTACTCACCCTCGAGCTATTCATAAACAGCATTGACAGTCAAGGGAACCTCGTATTGAACCTCCATTGTTGTGAGCGAGCTTTTAGAATACAGACGTAAGACTAAGTGGTGTTTGCAACAAGTAAATTTGTAGGATAAATTTGTAGGTGAGCCTTTGTAGGTGAACCATGCATTGGTAAATTTTATTTGATGGATGTCCATATTTTAGATTTCATATAAATTCTGCTGTTTCTAAAACTGACTGAATTATTTGAAAAGTTGTAATGTAGTTAGTCAATGAAATATACGGCGTTCAAAACGTCAATTCATTATTTTGTGCTGGTTTTGTTGCGTATTTTGTCTTCTCCGTCGGGATAGATTGTCAGGGGGGGGTAGAGGTAGCCTGCGTGGCAGGCCCGCAATTTTAGGGGGGCCTGATTTGCAGCGGGCAGGGTTTTGGCGGGCCAAAAAAAATTGAGGGCCCGGTTAGCGGCGGCGCATCATCAAAAAAATTTTCCAGGGAACAAAACCTGTTTTTCCAACCATATTTCTCAATTTTATTTTGTATTTAACCATCGTTCTTCGTTCCATTTTCCCCAATTGTTTTCGTAAACTTCTCCACCTTTATAACAGGGTTAACAGGGTGAAATTCAAGGACTTTTCCAGGACTTTCAAGGTCCTTTTTCAGTAAATTCAAGGACCTAGAACTGGGAAAAATCTTTGAAAATGGCACGGATTTGCCGTAAAAAAATTCACTTTATTCAGTAATTTTAATCAAAATCACTAATGTTGGCACAGCTGGAGGTTAATTAAGGAAATTAATTCCAGGACTTTCAAGGACTTCTACTGATATTCAAGGGCTGGAAAGTCCTGGAATTTTTTTTTCCAATTCAAGGACTTTCCAGGGTTTTCAATGCCCGTGGACACCCTACTTTTAGCCATCATTCTTAATTTTTAATCGGTGTCACCCAAAAATTTTTTTGGTTCCTATCCAAATCCATGTTTTGCCAAATGGGATTCAATATTTTGCTAACTACCTGCTGTCTTGGAGGGGGGGGGGGTTATACCCCTCCCTTTAGTGCCAGCCCTTTGCCTAAAACTGTCGCATGCAACCTACTTACAACTTGAGTTGTACTGTGTAGATCAAACACACAACTCGCTTACTTTGTTGTAGGTGTAAGTTGTGGGCTTGATTTACACAGTACAACTCAAGTTGTAAGTAGGTTGCATGCAACAGTTTTTGGCAAGTGGTGTGGTGTAAATCAGCCTTTAACTTTCAAGTAACACAACTCCACAAGTTGCACGACCCTTAAGTTGTATTTGTATCCAAATATTGACATTGAACCATTAGCCAAATTTCACAGGAAAAAATTAATTTCCATTAATGGGGGTTTTTGAATGTAAAAACTGAACAGTCTCTTACCATTTACCAGGAAATGGTAAATATTAAACATGGTTTAGACCAATTTATCATATGGGAAATCTATACATTATACATCATAAAGTTTTTACATCATACATGGTAAATCTGTAAAAAACATTCAAAAACCTATTACAGTCGCGCCAATAGAAGCGTTCCGAAAAATGTTCACCAATTCAATTTCCTAACTTGAAGGAACACCTCTGAACAATTCCTCAACAATTTGATAAGTTCCTTAAAAAGTTCCTAACTTCCTGTTTCATTGACCAATCAAATTTTATTTTTGAGCAATCTGATTGGTCATTGAAACAGGAACTTAGGAACTTCTTAAGAAACTTATCAAATTGTTGAGGAATTGTTCAGAGGTGTTCCTTCAAGTTAGGAAATGAATTGGTCAACATTTTTCAGAACACTTATTGGCACGACTGTAATGGAAATTAATTTCCCCCCCTGTGAGCTTGCTAATCATATTACATAGCAGAGGTACACAAAATGATTATATTGGAGAATTTTTACATAGCAGACATACACAAAATGATGATATTGGAGAATTTTTAATACAGTATCACAAAAAATCATCATCATGCAGGGAGGTTTCCAATTTACAAGTCGTGTCAGTGAAAATGATGGTGTACAAATAGTCCAAACGAGGCATTCTTGCAAAGCATGCTTCTTGCAATACTGGTACTAGAACTAAAAATTTGATAACATAGGAATTATTTCAGCATGCTTATTAAGACGTTTCATGGGGACAGCCGTGATAGCCGGCTTAGTATTTGGATATTCGTACAACAGCAATAAAACTAACAGTAAAGTAATCCTTCAAGTACAACTGTCTTTTTATGTCTGTTTAACATATCTATTGTTCTTCACCATTCTCGTCCCCAGGAAGGTCACTCTTCCATAACTAGACAAAAATAGAAACAGAGTTAATGTTTGAAAGGGGTGCTGCAAACCGAGCATTCAAGGATTCGAGATTTTTCCTGGTATATGTTACAGATACCAGCACTTCGATGACAGCATTCTCACTGCAGGCTTGAAACTGGTATCGATGATCAGCAAGAAATTATTTATGATCAGTGGGAAAGTCATGACTGCTGATTACCATGATCGGATTACCCTACCCTCTGATCTTACAGTAGCATCACTGTTGACCGCGATCTAATTTGTCCGGATAAGGGTGGTAGTTGAGGTGATATTTGTTAGAGATTATTTCATACTTACTGTAAGATTATCCCTAAGCAGCTGCATAATAAGTGTACTGTCTTTGTAAGAATCTTCCTTTAACTCGTCAAGTTCAGCAATGGCACTATCAAACGCCTACAAGAAAATTATTTTATTATATCAGCTCACGCACTGACGAGCGCTTCTACTTTATTACTCTAATGTCTAACGCCAGACGATTTTACTTGTCAAGGGGATTACAAGGCTTTTCAAAAATATGTTATATTTTGTCAATTATAAGGATCTGCTAGTTTCCTCGAGGTTTTGTGGGGACTTAGATTTCCAGGAGTGGAAGCACAGCTTAAAGTATTAAATTTCCTTTCAAATTTTGAAATCTCTTTGGCATTTTTATTTTAGTTGGCCCTGCATAACGTGTTTAGTTACCTGTTTTGCAAGATCACAAGCCTCTTCCTTTGCATCCTTGATCTCATAATAGAAAACAGAGAAGTTCAAAGCTAGACCAAGTCTGATTGGATGCGTTGACGGCATTGCCTCTTGTGCCAATTCATATGCCTCCTTGTAAGCTTTTTCCGATTTCTCCATCACCTCTGTGAAGAGATTGGGACAAACCAATAATCAGTTATTTATCATATAGTCGAGTTCATGAACAATAGTTCTCCCACACAACTAAGACCAAATTGTATATGTATACTTTAAGTGAACCTGGGACTTTGAGTTTACTGAGTTTCTCACTAATTAGTGAGCGGATTTCACCAAAAAGGCCATTGCCCAATTAATGGGGGGATCTGAGGTACAGTACCTACAATTTTAACCTCCTTACAGGGTTCGAATCTGGGAGAAAAAGTCGACTCGCAATTTTTTTGGAGGAAAACTTTTGCCCGCAAACCTACCCTTCCAGAAAACTCACTTCACAAGCTCCTTATAAAGACAACTTAACAGAACACTGTTTTAATAATAAACAAATGCCGTTCTTGACTCTTGTAGCTACCAAATAAAATTTGGTAAAATAAAATAAAATTTTCGAATCGCAAAAGCAAGAAATCGGCTCGCAAATTGCGACCTGCTAATTTGAACCCTGCCTTATCTGAGAAGACACGAAAGTCTAACGATTTACTGATATCATTGTAAAGGTAGCACTTTCTCCTCAATTATTTCAAGACCTTGAGTAGAGGTCCGACCAAGGATTGATCCCACCTTGGGTAACCACACCATTACTAAGGCCAAGGATGGGGCGAAAAAATTTGACAGTACGAACGGGATGGACATATTAACAGGGTATCATTATAAGAAAATGCATTGTCTTGGCATTTTGGGGGACAAAACTAAATGGCCATATAAAAGTGCTTGTTTTTTTAGTTGTTTTTCATGTGGAGGAATTTCTTGGTTAACTTATTCGATTCTGTGATGTAAAAACACTGAAAACTTTGGTGGTTTGAATCGATCTTATGCCAAATCTGTGGTGATGTGGCATTTCAGCAATACTACCACCTCGCAGGGTATTGCTGTTTGCCAATGTATAAAAGTTATCAGTACATTTTCTAGGTATTGGTTTTCGGGAATTTTTCAATACCCAATAACTACCAACCACCACATTGGGCATGCCCGAAGCTGTTTGACCTTGACTGGCCGGTAGTTTACCAAAATAAAAACAGATTTTTGTCTAATCATCAAAATTTATAGGCTTCATAAAGCATTGTATATTATGACACTAAATGTTTAAACTACCTGTTATTGACAAAACAATTATGGGTGCAATATAGTTTTGCCTTTATAGCTTATGTTTGTTCCTTGAAAGCAAAATCACAGCATCAAATTTGAAGATTAGGAGTTATAAAAAGGTCGTTATTAATTATTTAACAAGCCACTCATATTCAGTATTTTATAGTAACAATACCATACAATATTACAAAATACCAAAACAATTGTCTCATGGGAATTGGAAAACACATGAAACATCTTTCTTGGAACTTTGTCGATAGTACAGATTCTCATAAAATACTGAAATATTTCTTAGTATAATTTCGGTGTCGGTTGTGCATTAAAATTTTGAAACTTTGTTTGCAAGTACCGCGACAAGAATGTCTAAAATAACTTTTAGATATTTTGAAACTAGCATATAAACAAATTTCAAGCACAATTTAATGACAAAATGTGGCGTTTATATCGTCTTCAAAGGCCCACAACTTTCCATTAAGACCTGAAAGAGATATACCTTTAAATTTGATGATAAAAAGCAGATAAAAATAAGCAAAATTGACGGTGTAATTTATGTACCCTACCAGATTTGGCGGCCTTATCTTCTTCGCTGTTGCCATTAGATTCAACTTCGGCAAGATAGCGGTAGTAATCGCCCTTCATTTTCAAGTAAAACACTGTCGCTTCATTGTCGCTTTTCGACCTGGCCACTTCTACTAAATGATTATCCAATAAATCCTACGAGAAACACAAACGTCAAATGTCAAAAGGCGGTGAAATTTCAAAACAGAAACTGCCCCTACTATGTTTGTATTACAACTGAACCGAAATTCGACGGAAAACGACCATTAAAACCGTCCACTTTTGCCCTGGAGAGCGAGTTTTTAACTTGCTAAGCAGGAAGGTTTTAAAAAGTCCATAAAACGTGTTGTTTTACTGGTCGTTTGCCGGCAAAATCGTCGTTTTGAGGGTGGGGCGCCATGTTGTTGCGTCGAATGTATGTACCTACCAGTACGACATTACAGACATCTTGTAACTCTTTCTCGATTTTTACTTTGTATTTCGTCGCGATTTCCTTTTTTCTCTCGTTAGTGTCAGACTTTCCTTCTATACTAGACACGACTCGCCACGAAGATCGCCTGGCTCCGACAACGTTCTTGTACGCAACCGACAAAAGGTTTCTTTCCTCAGGAGTCAAGCTATGACCCGTTTTCGTAATTTCCTTCATTGCCTCGGCCATATCGTCGTATCTTTCGGCCTGTTCGGCGACCTTAGCCTTCGCCACAAGCTTCTCGATGTTGCTCATTTCCATCGCTGTTAAACTAAACTTAAAATTAACGGAAGAAAGAAAAAATCTTTTCTAAAATCCTTCCAAAGTTTGCGGAAAGACAGAGGAGGACTCGAAATTATATTCGCACTGCACGCGTGATGGTCCCTGAGAAACATGAGAGGGGGGGTGCCGAATAATGAGCATGATGCCTGCATTACGTCATAAATTTTACATTCTTTTATAATATATCATTAATATTTATTATTAAAATATTTTATAATAAAATTGTTCAAATATCTGCGATTTACATCTAGACAATGCCGTTCAAGATAAAAGCAATTAAATTGAATTCCAACGAATTTAAAAACCAGGAAAAAGCGAGCTAAATATACCGAATGTTGTGGGCTAGCAAACCAAAGGTCGCGGGTCACAAACATGTACTGAATATTATTTTTTTATAAAGACCATATGTAGCATGGAGCACTTGAACAAAACTCTCAAGATCAGAGTTATGAAATTTGATTGAGCAATATGCCCAAATTACAGACAGGCAACAGGGGACGAGGTTGACAACAGACAGACAAACAGACAGATGGGCCAATGGACGAGTTAATAGACTTGTTTTTTTTTTTGTTTTACACGTTTTGTTTGTTTGTTTGTTCCTGTCTGTCTGTTTGTTTGGCCTGTGTGTCGTAACATATATGCCACGAGTCTATTAAGGGGAGAGTTACTGTGATATTGCTTTTGTCTGTTTATTTTTGTAGTTTAATTGACGATTCCCCTTATTACGTTTTCGTAGCGCTTCGCAATTGTGGTTATAGTGATCAGATCATATTTTTTGCCCTGCCCCGTGCAAGAACTTTAAAAAAAAGCTAAGGTCAAGTCATGGGGTCAAGTGCGCGATAGCCAACAGCAAAATATTCGCGAAAACATTCAACTTTATCAGTGATAAGTGTTTTTTTATTGCTTCTGTCATATGAATTCTCCAGTTAGAATTCTCCAGTTAGATCATATTTGAGATTTCCATCATTTATACTCTGCCTTTACCCATATGCAGGTACATATTGGGTTTAATATGGTTTCATCTACTTGTTCTTTTTCATGACATATCTACCGTCAGTTCTCTCCTAAAATCCCACTATAGCTGCCGTCAAACCACTCCAGTTGCATTAATTAATAGAGGTCAGGCATGATTTATCGTTGGCGAGCTACCTTAACTTGTTGGTACATATTAGGGTTTATTAGGGCTTTCTGACCGATTCTCTTTTCATACCACAATCTACCCTAATCTATCGTCCGTTGTCTCCTGATATCCCCAAAAACAGCACAGTAGGTACATATTAGGTTTATTATGGGTTTCTGTCCAATTTTCTTTTCATACACCAATCTACCCTAATCTATCATACGTTGTCTCTTGATATCCCACCAAAACAACGGTGAAGGCTATTTCAGATACGGTAGAGCACCTAGTCCCCAGGCCTTTACCAGCGCGACCGCGAAATTCAATATGGCGCCAAGCTAAGGAGTGGAGTTTAAATGGAGTTTATATTCTATAATTTCTATTGTTGTTTTTGGATCTTTTTATTCTTTTTGGTTGGTGGAACTTATATTCTGAAATGCCAGGTATCTTACTCTTTATCTGAAAAAAGATTTTATGACAGAATTTTTCTCAAACATAGTTAAAATTAA